AGCTGGCTACGGGCCTGTACAGACCTTTGAATTTCTTGAGTAGTCAGTCAAAGCTTGTTGGGGTCCATTATGCAGAGCTTCCAATTGAAATGCGCACATGAATTGTCAGTGGAAATTGTGTTTTTCGGTACTCCAAAGAAAATGTCTCCCTCTAGCTTACATGCACCCCCTCCCTGATCAATCACTCATTCAGGCGTAAACAATAACAGAGATGAAATTGTGTTGAGTTTATGGCTCTTGGCGCACGTGCATTGACGTACCAGACTGATGAAAGGGCTCGGAACGTCTCAATAAAAATAAATCTTCACACAATTTTTCACAATGATCGACCGCCTGTGTGCAAAATAGGTGAACGTATCTGAAACATATACGGTTAGTACTTACTGTGACATATCCGTGACTAACTCACACCACTAAATTGGTAAAATGTTCCATGCACCTTAAGAAATGTGAGAAATTACGAGGTTATCAGCGCAGAACTCCCGAACACCGTACGTACATCACAAAGCTATAATATATATGTCAACAAACACGCGGGTTGCGAGGTGCCTGCCTCCGATATCCATTTCGAGGCCCGCTAAGCCAAGCATAAAGCGCGCGGGCAAGACGTCACAAACACAGCTACGTTCACTGGCTAAAACAATCGAGTAGCGCGGTTAGGGATTTTTGGAATTATTTCATTTTAAGAAAAACTTTAACATTGTTCAATGAATCACGCACTCGTTTACTTCCGAAAGCGGGTAAAAATGCCTAATTTTTCCACTTCGGTGCGAAATGCATCGGCCGGGCCTTTCATTATTTACGAAAAGCAAACAGTCTCGCCAAACACCTACACGCAGTAACGGGTCACGTCGTTGACGCCCCATTCATGCCCATCAACGAAGAAGGCGGGGCTCATTCCAATTACGGAGATGCCAAAATGCAACAGAAGGACGTAGCGCAGTGCACTAAACGGCATGCTATTTTCGTTTTTGTGCCAAACTCTATCGTAGGAAACCGTTCTAGCCTAGCAGAATGCCCTAGTTCCTGAGATCGGCGATTTGGTACTGTGATGGGTCCCCACCTTATATTATATTATAGAGAGGTGCGGCGTCGGCTGTGATTGGAAGACACAAAGTGTCAATCCTCGGCGTGCCTCGGCATCATGGCCGCATCACGTCAAGAATTTGTCTTTAATCAAAACAAGTACTAGTTCAAGTACCCGGTACTGAAGTAGTACTACTACTAGTAGTAGTAGTAATAGTAGTACTAGTACGAACAAAACAAATCAAAACACGCACTGAACTACTACGGCCCTAGTCTAGAAGGCATGTCCCACATTACTTCGTTATTGGCCAATAACCCTCACCAAAATATTATAAAAAAGGTTATATGGGACAGAATCATTCGGTCTACAATACAATATACAATACTACTAGTAAGTACTAGGAACTACTAGTAGTGATTGTCTTGATAACCTACTCTAAAGTGCCATTCCTGTTACCGGCGCTAATTAATTGACAGTTAATTGCCGTGTAGTGACGCACGTTGACTGTCAGATATGTCGATCATCTAGTAGCACGCAGGTTCACTAATTTCATGTTTTACGTTCAGGTGTGTTCCGGCGTATACCGACGCTCACGCTGACAATGAGGTGTTCTTCGGACCCGTCACCGAGAGGGAGCAGAAAGTCGCGAGTCGCTACAAGAAGCGCCGGACGGAGATGTACATTGTCGGCGGCAACAGGAGGAATCTCGCCGAACTCTTTCGTTTTGAACGCGATGACGGCGACACGTCGAAATGCGGCAGCGAGGAGTCCGACTCTGAGTCCCAGACGGCAGATGCGCCGTCGATGCACCATAGCTGCTCCCCCGACGAGCGAGGCGGCACAACAGAGAGAACCAGCAGCATGTCGACCTCCGATTGGGACAGTAGCTCCTGTTCGTTTTCTCATAATCACGCATTGCTGGTGGTGAGCGCTGCCAGCGACACGCTCAACGAAGAAACGATTCTGGAGAAGGATTCAAAGCGTGTATCCGGTGAAGATCTCGTTCGCACTGCTAACGACGACGTGGAGTTCGAAAATGATTTCGATAGACCCACGTCCGTGCAAGTGCATAATTCGTCTCAATCAATGCCGACGGAAACCAACACGGCTGCTTCTCTGTCGACAGAGGCAAGTGCGGTCTTAAGTTCTGGCACGCTCGCAACCTCAATTGCGTCAGAAAACTCGCGACAGTCGGACGTCGTCTCGAATGCGGATATAACTTCGAGTAACGATTCCTCGTGTGCCGCTTCTGCCGCCGATTCTTCGAGTAGTGACACCTCTCGCGCGGAGGATGCCTCCTCTGCCGTCGTCGGCCGCGCGTCGAAGACGTGCACTAATACGACCGTTTCTTTCGTGCTTAACGAGATGGTGAGTGTGCAAGCGGTCGCTGCTACCCGGGTTCTCGGCCATGTTGGTTGCCACGCCGACCGAGCGTGTCCTGCTATTCCCGAGGCAGAGGAAACGAATCTGAACGAGAGGCAGTCGGACGATCTTGGCACGGATGAAGCACCGGATGATGGCAGAGAGACGAGCCTCACTACTGCAGAGCCACTGAAGCAGCGTCTGGAATTCAATGTCGATAACGAACAGAAGTACGCGAAAGTTGAATTGCCTTCAGGTGTGAATAATGTGAACCAAGGCGGAGATCAAGTAAATCGTCTGATGCGCAGCGAAATGTTATCGCCGCGCATAGAATTTTTGCAAAACAAAGAAAACGTCGCTTCGTGCAAAGATGAAGACGTCGTTGACTGGACTGGGAAGGAAGGCGGGAATGCAACGAGACTACACATTGACCGAACCCCACGTCCTGCTTTAAACCCCAATTCTGTCCGGCAAGACTTTGACATCAAATTAAAATGCTCACCAGCGAGCGCCTTTCGGGTTTTCAGCAGCCCTTTCAGTCCTGCAAAGAAGTTTTTCCCATCGCTTTACGAAAAGACCAAAGACGCGGCGCAGCGTGACGATGACTTCCTCTCCCCCGCCCATCGCAGCCCTCTGGTTAACGCCGCTCCGACGCACATCGAGCCAAATGCATGCACTCCGTCTCTTGCCCAAACCAGTGAAACTCTATCGATCCGCGACGACGGGGTGAGTGTGGCAGCGAGAGTGAGCCCGCGATCTGCCTTCTTCTCAAAGATATTTAGTCCCGATTCGTCCGCCGTCGTCGCGGATTCACTTGAGCGTGATGTCGGCAGGGTGATGTTCGCGTATCCTGCGGTCACGGTGTGCGTGAACGACACCGACAGTGATCGCCACGGCGACGCGGCGGTGGATTCGTGCGAGCACGACGACAGCACGCACGTCGGAAGGGTGATGTTTGCGTATCCCGCGGCGACGGTGAGCGTGGAAGACGCCCACGACGATACCAACAGAGGTCGCAGCGACGATGACCTTGGTACGAATGGAGGTCGCGACGACGACTGTAACACGGATCGATGTCATGGCGATGATATCGACATGGACGCAGGTCGCAGCGACGACCTTGGCCTTGACAGATGTCATGGGGGTCGCGGGGACGCGCTGGGGGATGAGATCGTGACGGTGGAGGCGAACGACGTATTTGACGTGTCCGACACGATGTCGCAGGGCGACGACTGCGACGGCGATGGCGGCCACGCGTGGAACGTTCCTCCCGAGCTGATCCCGTCACTGTCCAGTCTCTCCTGCAGCGACGATACCGCTATCTCTTCCTCCTCCTCCACGGAATCCGGCGATTGGGCTCCACCCCCAGGGATCACACTCAGAGTCACCTCCGATAATTCCCGGCGTATCAGCCCCGCTCAATCCCCAGGGATCACACTCAGAGTCACCTCGGATAATTCCCAGCGTATCAGCCCGGCTCAATCCCCAGGGACCACACTCACCTCGGATAATTCCCAGCGTATCAGCCCGGCTCAATCCCCAGGGACCACACTCACCTCGGATAATTCCCGGTGTATCAGCCCAGCTCAATCCCCGGGGATCACACATGCCTCCGCCAATTCCCGGTGTATTAGCCCGGCTCTATCCCTGGGGACACACGATAATTCCCAGCCTGCGAGTGCCTCATTTCTTTCCGGAAATGGACGCCACGCGGGCACCGGCTTAACCATTGAAGCGGGGAGCGGCGGCAGCAACAGTTTCACGCTGTTTCCGCCACTGCCTACTGTGGAGGTAGTCGTGACTGAGCACGGCGGCTTGTGTGAACCCACGTCCGCAGAGATGATGCAGGAGAAGACGGACAGCGCCGATAACCAGCCGCAGGTAATCACTGCGTTATTCCTTTGTCTACCGTTGCCGCGAGTAACGTAAACGACGTGGAGTTGTGCTGCGTGTGGAATGTGACGTACTCAGTGTTGCCACGTTCCCAAACTAATTGGTTTCTGTCGTTTTTTCTGAACCGAACCCCACTTTGTGAATCCTAAAGCATCGTTTTATGGTACCGACTGAAAGATGAGAAATTCTATGTATAGATTTCTCACTCTCATAATTAGATATGTTTGCGTGATGGTTTCTCGTAGAGATATTTCAAACATATTGACTAATAAGGGTCGAACTAGAAGATCCCCTTTGTTATCTCTTATGTCTGTCCCACGCTATCTTCTAAAATCCCTTCTATTCTTCTTCTTCCTTTGTGTTATGTAGAATTGGTGTTTCTTACAGGTGTCTCCTCCAGTGTGCTCTCCTCTGCTAACAATGCTCGAGAAAAAGAAAGCCGAGTTACAGAGACTGAGAGCAGACAGAGAAAAACTTCGGGAAGTCGTGACAAAAAAGAAGCAACGCAAGGTGTTTGTTATGACACGCCATAGATGTGGTCAAGTTGTCCTAGCGAAATGTTTTGTCAACGTGTTCATCAAAAACGCCTATTAACAGTGACTTAAATCAACAACTTATCGACAACTTAAAACTTTGTTAATATAGTTGGTATTTTTAACTTTGTTTTTTTTTGTATTCTAACTAAGAAGTCGGTTTTTTAGACATAGACTTTGTGCAGACATTGTGTAGTGCATGCAGGTGCAATAAAAACATACATTGTAATGATTATTTCATGGCCCAGTATTCCCACTACACAATGTTAAAAAGAGTACTGTCTCCGCGTAACACGGATTATTTCATATTTCAGGGTCCCGCTAAAAAGACACCAATAAAGTCGGAGGGTGGAGCTCGTGCATTTGGAGACAGGTGGTCCACCCAGAAAAAACAGGAACTTGATGGAATTGGCATGCTGCAACTTGTACGACGCATTAATATTATTCACATTTTTTCAGTTCCTCAAATCACTATGGACGATGTGAAGTCCATCCGCCGGATGACTCGAAATTTCCATCCAAAATACTTTTATTCTTTTCACAAATCTCCTAAGTTAATAAAAATGTTACTCGTTCCCTAACGGTAACCACACATTTGTGTTTCTAATTATCTATGCAGTAACTAATCGCCGTGTTGTTTTTTTGCGAAGTCGTCGAGAGAGTGGGACAAGGTTGTGATATGGAATACTGTGCAGAACAGTCAGGCGCAGACATGTAACGTGGCAGAGGACCCCGCTCTGCTGAGAAAGACACCGCTCGTTATCAGACATGCGCCAGGTAATCTGCATATATGGAGAAGGGCTGTGCTACCTATGATTTTGGATGCGTGTTCACATTCGCAATTTAGGATTGCCATCTTGTTCTTGCGATCGGCGAGAGGGTCTCGAAATGCTGCACAATGTAGCTTTTGCATTGTAAATGTGTTTCTCAGACTTTGTGCAGACATGGTGTAGTGCATGCAGGTGAATTGAGAACTAATGTGCTTACATTTCTTGTTGCAGCTGTGGATGGTAGAATGCACCCGACCCGGCTGAAGTGGGCAGATGAACTGGTGACTAGCATATCTTCAATGTGCAGTCCTAATGATGCCGCTCCATCATGCAAATCTATCCTCATTAAGGTATTCTTCGACAGCGCATCTCGTAGGTTATGATAAATATTTGCAATTTCTCAGCAGCAGTTTTGTATCGTGAAACACTGTTACATGAAACATGACGTTATGGTAACAAATCTGATGGTTAAATTTGAACTGTACGTTATATTCTCTTCTATGAAGGAGCACGAGAGACGAACCAAGAAGCTGCTACTACCAGAAATCGTTCTCGAGTCTCCAATGATTATGAAGAAGAGTAATACTCTAGGGTATGATTCACCCCAGAATGACACCTGTTCCATCCCACGTGCAGTGGAAAATAGCAAGTTGCCATTCTAGCACCAGGAGCGTTTGTAGGAATGAATCGCAGCATCAGGATGACGGCACGTTCGCTCCGATATGCGACCCGCTCCAGCATAATACGGACTAAGTCGCAAGTCATTGTTTTGAGTTATGAGCATGCACGCATGTCAATGCTGAAAATGGCCTACCTGGACAAAAATAAGATTTTTACAAAAATAAGTTCCCAAGTGCATATTTAATCGGGATATATTGGTTCAGATATCTCTAGATTATTATGGTCATTTTTAATAAAAAAATTAAAAAAATAATTTTCGACGGGCCTTTGACCGCTCATGTGCTACAGTGGACTAACCCCCTACTGTAGCATTTACTGTGAAAGCAGCTGCGGGGCCTCAGGGTTACAGAAACGGAGATAGGCACCGCCCAAGGCGCGGGAAGGATTTTTTTAACCCTTCTAGAGGCAGAGCGACATTAATGTCGCTGTAAGGACATTACCAAGCTATAGATGGCTCTTACCTAGCGCACTACGAGTACAAGTACTAAGTTAGGGATCAGCAAGATCGAGTAGCAGATATAAATATTAAAGGCATATACGGGCGGCGCGGCTCGGTGTAGCTTGAGCAGGTAGCAAAAAAGCAAATTGGGGGTCGGTACGCCATGCCCTGGGTTTAGAAACGTCGTGTGCGATCGTGTTGGATAAGACGTGTGGACTCTGATGAGATCGTGTTGGAATCGCGAGAGCTGCGTGAATCTGGCATGACACACGAACTCAGCCATACATTTATTGTCGAGGCGAAGACGCGTCAACTGACGTTTAAAAAACAAAACTAGAGCTTACAGTTACATGTAAGACAGATATGCCACATTATAATAGGTGTCAAGGCCTAAACTCAACCCCATAGCCTAACTTTAACTAACTAACTATTTGCTAAGAAAACATTGTAATGACTAACAAGCTATACAGAATTACAAGGATTCAAGTAGTCTAGAAGTTTTACCAAGTCTAGCTCTAGCCAAGTCAAGACATCATTTTCATATAAATATATATATATATACATAGAAACTTAAATGGCACATCAAAACATCATCTTCTGGGTGTGAAGATGCCCCTAGACATTTCTTCGAGAGTGCCGATGCGCAGATGCAGCTAGATAACATACTGGCCGTGCTCAACTGTTCATTCTACAAATGCACACACAAAATGTATGCATCGTAGAATGTATATAATTATATCCTCTTGGCGGGTATAAAGATGATGGGTATAACATAATTACTAGGAGTATTTATAA